AGCCGTCGTTAGCTCAGATCATCCAATGTGATAGAAATCCACTTCCTCGACAGTTGGTTGTTTCATGGAACTTGGTTGGTGGATGTCTGGCTCTCCCAGCTATGTTGATGATTGGTCTTTCCTGAGCGTGTGAAAGTGGTTCTCAGACCACAGACGTCTGGACCTGCGAGCTATGTTGTGATGCGCTAATGATTGATTGGTCAACATGGTGGGGATCACTCTTAGAATCTTATTTCGTAACTCGGACGTTTCTATCACTTGTTTTCTTTTTTGGGTCGGTAGTGATTTGAATTTGGCAGACAAACGGGCACTGTTGAGATGAAACATCCGAGGCGAAACTAATTTCTTTTCATCGAGAAACAGGTATGAAACGACCCTTCGTGTATACTTGGAAGTTCCCCATTTGTGCGTGCGGAATTCTTTTCGCGAAGCCGGTGAACTCTTTCATGTGAGCGGCCTAGTAGGATCAAGTCATCCGCCTGCCATTTTGAGACTACTGCAGTGCAGCGGCGTTGTTTTGCGCCCTCGATCGCCATCCCACCTCACTTGCCATGGAGCAAACTCGAAAGCGCCCTGCGACCTTCAAAAGGCCAGCTGCAGCTGCCAAGCGGCCAGCAGCAGCGACAATGTGCCAGGAGGAGGTTTTCATGGAAAGCGACGAAGAGCCGATGCTGGGTTGTGTTTTAAAGAATGCTTTGTGGAGACCAAGACAAAGGGATGTTCCAAAAGGCTTCGGTGTTTGAAACCGTCAGTTTTGACATTAAAAGTAGAACCCTGGCGAAACCACGCAGAAGGAAAGCAGATGGCGAAGACACAAGTGGTCAAGCCGCAGATACTGCCGCAGACGACATCGAGCTGTTTGAGGAGAGCGACGTGGAGAATGCCGTAACTCAGAGTTCTTCGACGCGGCCTTCCCCGCCACCGATTCCTGCAATGGGGGCCCGGTGTTGCGAAACTTCACAGTTTTTAATATATACTGTAGCATGACGAAACTTCACCGTATTTTTTGAAACGATAAATATGCAACATGATTGAGTTTTGTAAAAACCTGTGCAGCGCAATGGATGGCAGGTAGACAACATGATGTCTGGGTATTTTTGCACCAGCGAAGCTACCCGCCCCATTCTGCAAGAGCTTCCTTTCGCATTGCGCCGGGTGAGCCAGGGATCAGATGAGATCCCTGCAGCTTCGATATGTTCAGGGTGGGGAGTTGCGGAGATGGTAGTGGACTCCTTGAACAATGTCCTGGCGCGCTTCTCAGATGGCCAAACGTTGATTCCGAAGGCCTGGCTTTTCTGAGGGTGGGAGTGCGTTCCATTATATATGTCTTTGCCGGGGCATTCCATTCAATATTTTTGGGACTGTTTGTCAGTTGTTGTGACATCATCACTAAAAGTCGCTTTCCATGGGAAGGTCAATGACCTTAGAGGGGTCCAATGCGCGAAGACGTTTTGGCCCAATACGATGCGATAGACGTTTTTGGTAAATTTGGGTAAAACCATGGCCTCAAGTGCATGGGCAAGAAGGCTTCCATCCAAAAGCTTGGCAGATTGCTTCAAAGCAACTGTCGTTGCCTGAAGCGTTCGCGCTACCAACAATTTTCTGGGCAAGAGGAAGAGGTGATTGCCAAGAGGGAAGAGTTTGCATCCCTTTCGAAAGAGAAAAAGGAATCTTGACTCAGAGAATTTGTAGTTTGTGCAGGCTGCTTTTAACTGTCCTTTGCGCTTTTTGTATGTTCAAAACCATACTTCTGCAAATGACTTTTGGCAATGAAATGTTGCGCTCAGGAGTCTTGGCTGGCCGCACAATTCAATTGCATTTCCAGCCAGACTTTTGATGTTTCTTCTGCAAGCAATCCGCCCGCGCTGGGTGATCAAGGTGAGAAACTGTTCCTAGAATCGCCAGCTGACGAAGTTTTCCATAGCAGCGATGAAGAGCTTCAAACGGCAAATGGTGGCGCGCAGCCATCTGATGAATCAGAAGAAATTTTTTGGTCCTCTGATGAAGGGGATTACGTGAGACCACCTCCAGTGAAAAGAGGTCGCTATGCGGCCAGGTCCTCGCAGGGAAGTGAATTCTTGAACAAAAGTGTTTGCAAGGAGGCCTTGGCTCGTTTGGTTGGAGTGGGCAACTCGACGATCAGCAAGATCAGACGTGGAGAGATGGCTTTCACAAATCATTCCAGACCCGAACTACCTAAGCACCCGATGTTCGGGTTCACGATGAGGGGAGAGACCTCTGCACTGTGGGAACACATCATCATGTTCCTATGGTTCGTATACCAAAGCTGTGCGGAATTTATGCCAAATTATTTCCGAATGGCTGGTGAGCAATCTGCAGAGACAGCATTTCCTGAGGACAAAGAGGATGTTGATCATGACTGCATCGCCCGGCTTGTGAATGGATTCAGCCAAACATTGCAGACGGTTTCTACTGACATAGATGTCAACCAGATTGGCCCAGGAACCTTTCGAGGACCAATGAAAGCTCTTCCACATGGGACACGCGCCGAGCTATATTGGGAATACAAAGTTTTCAGCGAATCTAGAGGACTTCCGGTGGCATCCTACTCGACCTTCATGAGGGTGGCCAACCCCATATTGAAACCAGACACCCGAAATACTGGACATCTACGGTTTAGGAAAACGGGCGAACACGCCCAGTGCGATCAATGCTTTTCTCTGCGAAAGGCCATTGCTAAAGCCAAGAACCCTGCTGAGAAGCTTTCGCTTCAAAAGGATCACCATCGGCATGTGTTGAGTTCTTGGCTATGCCGCCATGTCTACTGGTCCATGAGAGCTTTGTCTCAGGCCACGTTTGCTGCGGTGATTCAAGACAATGCAAGGCATGCTTGGGATGCCCTGGCTGTTTCCAGCTGTGTAGTGTGCGCCATGGTCGACGGTATGGACCAGGCAAAATTCAAGGTGCCGAGGACAAAGGCTCGCCATTCAAAACTCTATAGTCGCCTATGGCGACCACAGCTTCACATGGCAGCTGTATGGATGCATGGAGCTATGCTGAACTTTTTCGTGAGCAACGAGGATTGCAAAAAAAACAGCTCTACTCAATGTGAAATGCTGATGCGATCGTTGGACATGATCTTGGACCGCTTTGAAGCTTTGCCTGCTGGATTAGCAATCCAAATGGATAACACTCCAAGGGAAGGAAAAAATCAGTTTTTTACTGGGTGGATTGCTTTGCTGGTGGCCCTTGGGAGCTTCAGGTGGGCTACTGCCTCGTTTTTATTGGTTGGTCACAGTGATTTGGTCTTGAGAATAATTTTTGCAGGTCCAGGAATTTGATTGTGATTTCCCATAAAGCTTCAACCACATGGATGAGATGGGCCGCAGTCATGTCTCTGCCCAGGTCACGAGGACTTGGACCAAGCGTTCTCTCAGCAAGCAGCTCTTCTAAGCAGGCATGAGTTTAGCACGCCCGAGGACGTCATGGCTTTGCTGGACATGAGCCATCGACCAGAGAATCAGGCTGAGCTGCTCAGAAAGACTGCGAAGAAGTTTACTGTTGAGACCAATTCGCTGAAGCTAGACCAAGTTGCTGACTGGAAGGCTTGGGTGCAGGCTTTGGGTGTCCGCTTGCTTGGGCTTAGACTCTTTGCCATAAGTTTCAATAACATGTAACAAGTGTGGTTGTTGACTGAACGCTTGGATCTCACTAAAGCACTTAGAATACTTTGTGTCCAAGCTTCTTGGTGAAAAAAACACCTATGCAAGAAGCATCACATCCGAGGACGCGCTGGCCAGCTTCGGTTTTGCTTGCGGCAGGACATTGATCCAGCATCATATGGTGCTTGCCAGCCTGAAGAGATTCCAGGCTATCAACCTCATGGAGCTGACGTAATGCTGCTGGTGAAGCGCTTGATGGCAGACACAAGCCCAGTCCGGGTCATTTGCGTGACTCCAGCATCTGTGTGCAAGCAATTACGTATTGCTTTTCAACAGCCCTCTGGCAATGATGCCAAGCGACCGATTTCTGAGCAGTGTCGGAGGAATATCCGTTCAATGGCACCGTTGTGCCAAAATCAAGGCATCATCTCAGCTGATGGCCGAGCATATTTGACAAATTGGGTTGATGGAACTCTTCCGCAACAGCCTAGACCCACTGCCTACAAGTGCTTGACTTTCAGAAGGCATCGTGTGCCAGCAGGTGTTCCAGATGCTCGGCCAATTGTGTGGGACACCCCTCGGCGCCCTAGAATCATCACAGTGTTGCCATCTGACCACGTAGTGGCAGAGTCGGATGAGGATGAAGGCCCAGTCGGGATGGATGTTTTGGAGGATTGATCTCCTACGGTCCTACAGCTTGGAAAAAGAACCTTCGGGCAGCGGGCTTGACAGGGGAACATATGACATAGAGCTTTGACATTTTCTAGGCAGGACACCAAAGTATTCTGTTGGGTGAACTGCGCCCGGTGTAGTATGAACTTTGGATGATCACTCTATTTGTTTGGGGGGGAAGTAGTTCTATCTCAGGAGTTTTGTTTCCGACCTATTTTCTTGACAGAAAGGCCCTTCACCATGGAGCGGTGTGTCATATTCCCAATCCCTCATTCCTTTCCAAAGCTCCGCCAGATCCAAATGAAGTTCATGTGCGAGAACACTCGCTACAAGCAGAAGTTCCTTTCTGGGGCATGGCCAGACTGCCCCGTCTTCACGGACATGTGCGATTTGAGCTGCGGTCGAGCCCATGAGTTCCGATCTGGCGAAATCCGAGATGTCCCACAGGCGAGGAAGCATTCTGTTCATTGGCAAGGTGTAGGCCTTTTGTTCTGAGTAGGAAAAGCCTTTTGTTCTGGTAGGAGCCCAGTAACTGGTTTCTCATGTTCATAATGCAGTTGCAGTTGAATTGAACGTTTTGCAGGTCACATTGGCTTTGGTGGGATATCCTTGCAAATCGATATCGCAGCAGAACTGTTCAGCCAAGTCCTTCAAGGACACTACGAGCACCACTGGCTCAGGATTTGATGCTCTGATTAAGTTTGTGGACCGCTTTCGCCCAGAAATTGTTCTCACTGAGAATGTGCGGTCACTCACACAGACTCGCAAGCAGTTTGACTGCGAAGTGCCCATTCAAATCCAGAATGATGCTTTCAGCCGGAGGGGATACCATTGTTGGCATGAAGTTGTGTCTTCTGTCGATTTCGGTCTCTCGCAGAGCAGAACACGTGCATGGGCTATCTATTTGCTTCACCATGGACATGGGCCACTCTTTTCAATTTCAATTAATGTTTTCCCTTGTGTGACCCAATCTCTCATCCGCATCACACCCAATTGTTTCATGTATTCAAATACTTGTCACTGGTCAAGGCAAGAGCGATATGCTCCCTTGAGCATCGTGTCCAAGTTCAAGTGCTCGCCCTACCCGATTGACTTCTTCTTGTTGCCTGCTGGTCAAGGTGACGCGGCTCGTGGCAAGGCCAAAGTGAGCAAGAAGGGGAGCAGCGCTTTGAAATGGGAGGCAGGCTTTGAGGAGTATTGCCAACAGTTGGGCCACGTATCTTGATACAATCAAGCAAATTTGTTTATCTTGCCCAAATGCACACTGTTGCTGGTTTCGTTTGCGAATGTTCACATGAGAGATGTTTTGTTACTCTTTGCGACATGTTCTCTCAAGGCTGCTGTGGAAGAGAATCGAACATCATTGCGCGCCCGTGGAATGCCGTTGACCGAGAGGGAGCTGGCCATTTTGGCTGTAGCAGTGACCAAGATGCAGTCCATTGGCTTCCGGCCATTCAACGCTGAATACTTTGTGGAGGTTGCTTCTCGGTTTAAACACATATTATATGGGTTGGTCGTCATCGATGGCAAGATGTTTCTAAACATTTCACGGGGCCATGATGTCCTCGGCAGACTTGGACTTAAGACTTGAAAGTAACTACAGGGTATGTGATGGCAATGGGTGATTCGCTCTGGTATTGCAAATTCCCAAGGACCAGAACTTTGGCCGGCAGACCTTCAACCGGCGCTCTCCGAGCCATTGCCCGTGCCTCTTGCCAAACGGCAAGTATATATTGACAAAGCAGTGGCGATTGCTGTCTTCCCAGGACCCAGTCGAAGATGACCTCTCTCCACTTCAAAGTGTTGCGAAGCTTCCTTCCTGCGTGAGTCATATGTAAAGACAAACTCTAGTAGATACATGAAGTTTGAATGACCGTTGAAAGACGCCTATAGGCTTTTGGTTTGGAATTTGATGAGGAGAAAATGCAGTTGCAGGGAGTTGGAATGGAAGAATACAAGAAGTACAAGATGGACACCTTGTCCCCTTCCCAACTGTCCAACATGGCTGGCAATGCGCGCTCTTCTTAGTGTTTGGTCTTTTGAAAAAAGCCAGCCATATTGAACCATGTCATGTGTGCTTCACCGTTTTTGCACTCAGTTTCAGCGCCCCTGTGTGCCTTGCTTTCCTGACGGCAGCCTTGATGAGCTGGAAGAATCTGTCTGAGGCATATTCTAGCTGATGGCTTTTAGCACTGGGTAAACCTTGTGCACATCAAGGTTTTGAAGCGGTAGGTGTGATTTCCAATGATCATTTGCTGCCTAAACCCTGCAACACTGAGTGTCACTTGTTTTGCGAACACACAAGATCATTTAATATGAATGGAAGGGTTCGTTGCGCAGATGGTCTTAAATTTGCTAAATTTGCAGCCCGGGTCTGCTGTGCGCCAGCATACAAGTTGCAAACAAATGTTTCAGTTTTGAGGTCGTGCAAGTCGAGCGAGTGCAAGTCCCATAAGCTTTTTGCAAGGGTTTTCGGCTTAGGCTTTGAGTGCGTACTACATGTGGGAGCCATGCCGCCGCGCAAAAAAAGCGAAAAGCCTTGCTGCAGGGGTCAGCACTCCTCAGAACATCACCACGGCAGATGCCATGCCTTCCTTTCAAAAGGATGTGCTGTCGATTTGTGAGTCCATTTTCGAGCTTCGACATGGTCGTGTGTCCGATGTTCACGAAAAGCCAATCGGTCTCCTAGTCCCTGAGCACGGCTTGTTCGCTTGGCCGATTTGTTATGGAGGCACATTTAAGGACATCGCACAGAGGTGTTGGGAAGATGGAGGAGACAAACTCCTCAAGATGTCTGCTGAGCTTTGCAATCGACTTGGACTTGTGGACAGTGCCGATGTGGATGACTTCAAGACCAATTTTTGCAGAATTGACGCTCCCAGGTGTTTGATTGAACCATGTTATTGTTTTTCTTCTATGAGGGCAAACCCTTACTTTTCAGTTTTTGGAAAAGGTTGCAACTGAATCTGAAGGGTTCTTAAGTACTTGTTTCTTGTGCGTCGCGCGTTGCTCCGAGGTTTGGCCACCGCAGCGAGGAGACAACTTTGAGACTTCAATCCTCTCTTGGTCCTTCGAGGACGCCAGCTTTTGGAGAGGAAACTCGATTTCAATGGCCGAGGTCATGACGTTTGTCCGCAGCATTGCCAGTTCAAGATTCCGCGAGGCTGGACCCCCAAGCACTATATTGAAAGCAACATAGAGTTTGGTCGTTTTTGATGTGTTTACGATGAACCATACTATGAAAATCTGTGGAGTAGGCTGTGTTTCTCATTGATGTTTTTTGGGTTGGCCAGGCAGGTTTTGGCGAGGTTTGTATGGTTGGCTTTTTGGCGAGATCTTTTTAGTCCGGGTTTGGCGACCCTAAACCCTAAACGTTATGGTATTTTAGGAGCGGCAGCGTAAGTTGTACCCAAAAAAAATCTATATACTGTGAATGTCTAGCCATTGTCTATGGTTTATGGCGAGCTCCTCAGCGAGGAGCTAGCCATAATATTTAGGATGAGTGGCGGGGGGAGATTTGTCTGCAAAGTCTGAAAGTTTCCTTGGCTCTGGTTTCCGTGGTCTTCAGTTTGTGGCGAGCTCCTCAGCGAGGAGCTAGCCATAAGCCTTGAGACACGTTGGTATGGTTTTTTACGTGCAAGCATGCATATGTTGTTTGCGTATATATGTGAGGCAGTTCCGTGCAGTCATATGGCTAGCTCCTCAGCGAGTAGCTCACCATAAGCAGTGGTAGAATCCTATGCTGATCATGGCTAGCTGGGATGTGTTTGTAGAAACCCTTGAAGGGGGGAGACTATCACATTGAGAATGCCATGTGCCCCACTTCAGTCAGGGAATCTTGCCTTGGGTTGCCTTTACTTCTCCGATGGGAGCCAGAAGAGTTTGGCCGGCTTCATCACTTGGGTTTCGATGTGCTTGGCTTCGCAGTTGGAGAAGCACCAGGGCACGCTTGCCGACAATGTCCATTTGCAGACCTCCGCAGCCTCTCTGTTGAGAATTCAAACGACTGTGAAAGGTTCCACGGGATCCTCCGATGAACTGGACAACACCATAGCACGGATAGTGAAACAGAATGTGGATGCAAAGGTGATGCCGGTCAGTTCTCTCACCTGGGTTACCGTATTACGCAGTTTGACGTCTGAGCCAACTGGTTTTGACGCCGCCATGGCCAAGTATAACAGCCACCCAGAGGTGGTCTCGTTTGATTCTGGCTCTTCGGGCGCTATCAGCTTGGACAACAGAAAGAAACAGGCCAAAGGGCGGGGAGAAGTTCCGGGTGCCAAAACATTGGATGGTGTCTTCCACGTTGCATTGGTGCACACACACACATTATGCACACACATTTGTTGGGGAGATTGACCATAATTACTATCTTTGTGGTCAATGTCTTTATCCTGTCCCCCAGACAACTTTCGTTTCTGATTCTGCGCAACTTCACCAAGAAACCCAGGGCGTTCAATTCTTCTTCAAGTTGTTTTAAACCAAACCATTGCCAAGCATAATGGAAAGTTACCCTTTGTGGGTGTCCAGAATCATGCTGTGTTTGATCATGAAAAGTAAGAGTTAGTGCAAACACCTTCCGACAGAGTGATCCAAGCTGCTCAGTGACCGCTTGAAATCCTGAAGATTTGATTTTCCTGAACATGTAGTACTGGACCCCTTCCCAGATACGTTTTCGTGAAGCTGGTGTTCTTTCTCCTTGCCTTGGAAAGATGGTGGCTTGCCGGTTTTGTTTGTTTGCGCAGGCTGTCAAGAACCTGTTGGAGGCCACGGACGCACAGGCCTTCGAAGAACTGGTGCGAAGCGCGCGCGATATTCCATTTCAGTATGGAGCATTCGGAGAGGGCTTTTGTTGCAGTCCTGGCTTGTGGCTGAATTCCTGTGGGCGGCTTGATCCTTGCCCAGAGCAGGACCCAGAGCTTGCAAAGCAGCTTTCTCCTTTGCCGCATGAGCCTTTCGTGACTTTGGATTGGAAATTGCCGTTGGATGCACAGGGCCAGCTCATTCTCTTTCGACGTGTCAAGTTCACTTTTGAACGGGTCACAGGCCTGATTCCTTTGCACCAAAAGCGCAAATACAGAATGAACAGTGAGGAGCTCAACCGCGTGAGGAACATGGTGGCACTCTTCAGCCAAATCCTTCCTCATTTGCGCGCACGTTTGGGAGATGATGATGCCAACAAATGGCAGGTGGATGTAGAGACTGGCATGGGGCGCGATGATGACATTCTCAACTTGATGCAGCTCCGTCCAACAGTGTTCTCACTGTCCATGCTGTTGTCGCATCAACGGCAAGCCAAAGAAGACATGCGCGAGAGCGAGAAGAGAAAAGTCGAGACTGTTGAGACACAAAGAAAGGAAGTCTTGACAGCCCAATGGAACTACTTCCTCGCTGCGTTGGAGAGGGACTATGCTCAAATGGAGCAAGTGCATGCTGCGCCTGCTCAAGTGCGCCAGCGGTTGCATGTCAAGCAGGTCGCGCACCAGGCCAAGATTGTTGCAGCGGCTGAGCAAGCTTGCCGTGGATACCAGGACAGACATGATAGACGCTGTCAATGTTCATGTTCAAGGTTTGAGTGTTTGTCTTCAGTTTTTTGCACCAATAAGGCTCCATGAGTTGTAGTTTCGATATAGGGAGCTCTGCTTGTGGGACGTTTGGCAATCATGTTCTTGTTGTAGTCGTTGACTCGAGCTTTCTATCTAGAGGAGAAATATTTGAGAGTTCTCGCCATTGAGAAAGTTGAGCTGGCAAAAGCAGAGATCAGCAAAATGAAGATGCAAATGGCTGCTTAGCTTACTGCTGATCAGGTCATTTTATCCAGGGTGGTGAAAGGAGAGGTGTAATACAGCAAAAAGGAATAAAAAGAAACACCATAAAAATAAAACCTCTTCATATGCCTTCCGTTTGTTAGTTTTGCGTTTCATTGGTTAGTCTCTTTTGTTCTATTACATCCTCTCTATTCTATGGATATTGTATATTTGTTTCACATGCATTGTGTTCATTTCTTTCCTTGATGTCATTAGTGCTCTTGTTTGCTTGACGTTTTCTTTTGTTCGCTGTGTTCATTTGGATTTCTCAGCCTTTGCTTGCGAAGCAAAGGCTGACCATTGTCAAGTGCCCTTGGATCGCGTGGCCACAGTGGGCTTTGTCGACTACAATGTCCCAGTCGCGAGGCAAAGCAAGGCAGCCCAGACTTTGGTGTCTGCTATGTCGATCGCGAATGACACAGGTGACCCATCCAGGAATTGTTGCTTGATGATCCTTCCGGATCTTCCGAAAGAAAGTTCATTGCGGGGCTTGTTCGACGAAGAGAAGGCGATTCTGGAGGGATGCTTTGGTATGAAGCAGGACGTTGAGACTCGTTGGATTGACCTTTACTGTCGCGACCGGCGAGGGGAAAGCAAGGCCAACAGCCGACGCTTTGGGTCAGGGCGGATAAGAAACAAACATATGGCTGCAAGCTGAGCTCGCCATTTCTGTGCGCCCGGTGGGACAATGTGAGTCTGAACGAGGAGCACCCACGGCTACGCTCCCAAAGTCCAACATGCTTCTGTTGCCGGAGGGCGCGTCGCCAAATTCCGATTTGAAGATTGCAGAGAGGGTTCGCCCATCGCCCGAGCAAAGCAGTGCTCAGAAGGGCTTGCAGCGCTTGGAGATCTTGGTGGACTCGCTTGTCCGCTATGTTCCCCTCAAGGATAGCCCGTTGCTGATTGTGAACTTCACTGGGTACGTGGAGGAGTTGGCGGCAGCGGTTCCTCGTTTATTCAAAAAAAACATGGATTCAACGAGCAAGTACAAGAAATGCAGTATGATAGGACTTGAGAAATTGGGAAAGGATAGCAACATAATACATAGCAGAAAGGAAAGAAAGAAACAACAGAAAAACCAGGTTGTTTTTGCTTTTCATTGTTTAGTCTCTTTGTGCAGTTATATACATCCTCTCTACTCATGCATCGCGTTCATTCCTTTCCCTCAGGTCATTCAGCTATTTGTTTCTTTGTTATTATGTTTGTCTTAAGCTGCTTGAGTTTTTCTATTCTCTGCTGTGTTCATTTGGATTTATTGTTTCAAGTTTCAAGAATCTAAGGTGCTCAACTTACGCATACGTGGATCTTTGTCAGGGGATGGAGGAGGCTTTGACTATGACCGGAACCTGTACTATTTGTCACTCCACACCTTGGACTCAGATAGTGGCGTAGCCTATGCGCAGGGCAGGGTGTCTCGAGATTTGTTGGACAGCTGGCTTGCGAAACGCATCTCCTTTGACGGACACAAGTATGAAGACAGCGATGTCAATTTGACAGAGCTGGACAGGGGTTAGATGAAGTTGTGTTTACAGTGGATTGACATCCATGTGTTTGTGTTCAATTGTCAATTTTCAATCAATTGAATTTTTGTTCATTGCACAAAACTTATCTGGAAGGAGCTGAAAAACATCCCAGGGGCACAGTTTCTGAAGGCCATCGATAAGATGAATCTTGAAGTCTGCGTGCGGAAAGGAACGCAGATGGTCCTTCATCCAGACCAAGTCAAGCAGTGGAACAACTCTGGGGTTGAGTATGCTGAGCAGTTTGCCGAAGTGCAGAAGAAACATGACTCCAAATACCTGGGCTTGTTGACCTCGATTATCTCTCAGCCTCAGGGAAGTTCATCGCAGCTTGCAGCAGCAGCTCCAGCTGATATGGACGAGGGTGCAACTGCTGGCTCTGGTGCCACCGAAGAGCCAATTCAGGAGTTGAACAAGTTCGAGTCAGTCGAGAAACTTGCAGAGGCTGAGAAGATTGAATACCGGTGCATGTCCGAGGTTGCCGGGATTGAGCTGCTCTTGTGTGAGTCCAAGAAGATCTTCCTTGTTGCAGACAAGGATCGCATTGTGGCAAAGTGGACCATGGTGGGTGGCTTCGGAACAGGGAAGCAGTTTGGCCTGAAATCTAAGTTCTGTCATTGTTTTGTGTTCAAGTCAAAAATGGGAACATTATTGAAAGAAGAGTCGAAAGAAAATAGTCAAGGATGCAATTTTCACACAGGTCCTCCCAAAGAGTGCAGACAATATGGTTGTTTATGGATTTGTTCATTGATGTTCAGTTCACCGCGTCGAGGTATGTTGCCATCAATGAGTCTGCTGGGGCTGGAGTCCCCATTGAATGGCCGCAAGGTGATCGGACACTGGTTCAAATAGATCACAGCAGCATCAGCCCTGAACACTCACATGTCGAGGTGATGAGCCTTTATCGCCTGCTGACTCATTTGGAACGAACCAAGAAAGTCTCAAATCACAAGGTGTCCTACACAGAAGTGAAGCGAGTCGTTGATGGAGGTTCTGCTGGCGCTGCTGATGCCTTCACGGTGAAAGTGTCGGATCCCCACCAGTACCATTGCTTGTCAGATGTGTCCAGGGCAACTACGTGCAAGAATTGCTTCGCTCAGACGATTGGTGCCATTCGCAGCTCAACCTACCTTACTCCAGTATTCAGATGGAGGTTCGAGAGAGTACACGGATGCCTGAAGGTACAAAAACCTTACGTCATGACATCCAAGGCCTTAGATTTGAAAGCCAAGCAACCGGTTCAGGTTGCGTAGGATATTTTTGACTTGGCAGCCTGGTCGGTCGTTCTTTGGTAACGTTTAAAGTATTTTAAAGTCACCCACTCACTGCTGGAGATGTTGTTTGTGTGTGGCTGGCCGAGCCAGGTGGTGCTTTCGCAGTTTGATCGTTGTAGACCTGGGTTTTCTGGAACAAGACTTTATTGCCAAGATTTCTTCCAGAGTTTCTTTCAAGAATCAGAACCATGTGGCTGTTGACAGGACATCCAGGGGTCAATGTGATTTGACACTGGCCTCGGAAGGTGTTTGCACGTGGACTCACTACTGTATGTGTTTGCTTTTCTCATTGTTCCATGTTGTATAAAGAGGCTTGAAGTGTGAGCTCTTACACCAGCGATGCCAGCCAGATATAGTGTAAAGCTCAATCACCGTGCTTTGTGTGCGAAAACCATGAGTCCAATTCATACAATCTTGGTTGGAGGCCAGCGCTAGTAGGTTGGAGGTCATCGCTTCTAGGTTGGAGGTCATTACTGCTATTAGGTTGGAGGCGATTACTGCTAGTTTGATAGTCTGTCACTGCACCCTGCTTGGATTCTGGAAAGTTTTGTGAGCCAAGAGAGTGAGAACAAATTGTTTCATTCATTTTTCTCAGGCAGTTTTCCTTGCAACTCAGTGAGTGTGCATTTGCGCAGGCCTCATTGTTGCGTGTTATTCACACAGTGGTTCATTTCCAGCCATTTTGCTAAAGAACACGTTGAATGCCAGTCAACCCGTGTGCTGCCCACATGGATGATAAGCAGCTCAGAGCTATTCGCAATGCTGCACTTAGCCGCCTTCAAAGTCAAACCTGGCCAAGGCTGCAGGGCACTGTTTCTCCAACTCATGAAGATCGAGAGGCTGCAGATTCTGGCCACTTCCCTGAGCCCAGAGCTCTTTTTTCTCAAGAGCCAGAGGAAGTGACTGAAGCTTTTGTGGATTCACCTGGAAAACCTTCTATGCCAGAGAATGCGAAGCTTCTGGACCAGAGTGATTCAGAACAGGTACCTGGAGAACCTTCGAATGCGAGGCTTCCGAAGAGTGATTCAATCCCAGCAGTGTTGGAGAGTGCTTCACAGGTACCTGGAAAGCCTTCCGAGCCTTTGTTTCCGAAGGGTGAGTCACAACACGTTTTTCCTGACTCAGAGGAGGAACACCAGGCCCCTGTTCAGGAGCCCAACAAGAAGCTGCTCCCTACCCAGAAACGTCTTCCGAGAAAGAAGCCCGCGGCTTCTCAGACCAAAGATGATGGTGAGACCGAAGATGCTGTTATGAAAAGGCCTGCAGCTGCGGGCTCCTGTGGTTCTGATGAGCCACCGGTGAAAAAAACAAGAACTCAGAGACAGCGGCTGGGCGATTTCCAGATGCTCAGAATTCCTTTGTTGATTCCACTGGCAAATGGCAGGCTTGGAGCTCAATTTTCAAAAGTTAACATGACTCTTCAAAAAACATTTTTCAAAAGTAGATATTGTACGATTGTAGGGATAAGCTCCATTTGGTTTAGGTTTTCAATCGAACCTACAACACTTTACCAAAACCCTGTTTTGGTTTTGCGGTTTTGAACTGTCGTTTTGTGTTTGCACATGCGGGAATACTCACTGTTTTGGTGTGCCTTCAGGTCTTTGAATGGGTACGTGAACAAGGCACCCAAAAAGGAGATATTTGGCGCAAGATTCTCCACATCGAGTCCGAGAAAGTATACCCTTCCTACAAGGCTGCTATCAAGGATGGTTTCAAGATAGAGGACATCCCGGCGGGTGCTTCGCTCAAAAAGCAGCGTGAGAGCTGAGTGAGATGACCAAATCAGCTATTTCGCAGATTTGCGAAGGGAACATATGAATTTTTCCCGAATGGATCAGAAAATCAAAAGCACGTGTAACCAAGGGTGTTCCATGCTTACACTCAGAGTTGTTTGGAGAAGGCGAATCGTTGCTGAAACCAGTCAGCAAACCTTGATTGATGTTCCCGAGCCAGCTTCTTAGTGCTAGCTGACGTTGAAGAAATCAAGCGAAAAGTGGCGCAAAGTCCAAGCGCTGCAGTTTTCAAACGACAGGAACAAACCCTACATGATTGGGGCACAGGAAGTCGTCCAATCAAACAATCAATTTGTTGCTGTTTGTTTGCTATATGTTGTTTTTTTTTCCCTCGTGTGTGCGTGTAAACGTTTGTAACCCAGGTTATGTTTGTACAGACATACATTGTTACCTGTTATTTGTATTAATTTAGCAGTTCCATCCACACATATGCCCAACCACTGATAAAATGAAACTAGGACTTATATATAATAGTAACTATAATGGCTCAAGACCGATGTCCGGAGTTGTTGGTGCAAGAAGTTGCGCTTCAATATTTGGAGCTATAATGAGTTTGGAGTTGGTGCTTCTAATTTGCAAGAGGCACAGAGAACGATTTGGGTCCACCCACGCAACAAAGGGAAAGTGCCAAAATACAAGGAAGAGAAAAGGGTGGGGGTGTTAAGGGGCTTCAAGTCTTTTGGCCTTGTGCACAAACTCGATGAATTAGCGGCCGAAAGTGTCCCGAAACAATCTAAATTAAACAAGGGCCCCTTCAGCGCCAGCCAAGCACTGCTATCATCTTTGGAAGCCAAACACGCTGCGGCTACCACCCGCTTTCAAAGGCCTTCAGCCATCCGTAGCTGGCAGGCCCGAGTTAGCAGATCAAAACACATAGCTCTCGGGTCCAGACATCTGAGACCTGAACCACTTTCACACGCTCAAGGAAGACTAAAGAGTGCCGCAAAAAAATCATAGCTGGCAAAGCTAGACTACCACCAACCAAGTCTTTCACACGCTCAGGAAAGACCAATCATCAACATAGCTGGGAGAGCCAAACATCCACCAACCAAGTTCCATGAAACAACCAACTGTCGAGGAAGTGGATTTAGAGCTGCCTGGATGAGACTTTCGAGTGTCTTGGACTCAGTTCGCC